GTTCTTCCAGAACGACGTGTAGGGAGGTGTTGGCTATAACATTGTACATTCTATCACAGAATGAATCAATTAGAGGAGCTATGGAAAGATTTCAACATTCTTCTGAAACAATAAGTCGTTACTTTTCTAAAGGCATAAAGGCACCTCTTAGCTTAGCAACTAAAATAATTAAACTGGAGGATCCATCATTTGCAACCACTCCATTACAGATTGCCAACGATCCTCAATACATGCCATTTTTCAAGGTAACTGCGGGTAGTTTTATTTTATAACTTGTCATACGATTCATAATATAATTACTATCTGATAAACAATTCAACATAATTGTATTGGTGCAATTAACGGTACACACGTTGATGCCCGAATACCCAACCACGAGAAGGTTGCATACATCGGTCGGAGTGGTTTGACAACTCAGAATGTCATGGTTGTATGCGACTTCAACATGTGCTTTACTTTTGTAGTGGCGGGATGGGAAGGGAGTGCACATGACAGTCGGATTTTCTCATTTGCCACTCGGAATAGATCGCAATGTTTTCCTCACCCCCCATCAGGTTAGTGTTGACTTGTAATTTGTTAATTTCAGCATTTAATCTTTTTACTTAACAGTGTTTTTCTTATTAGGAAAATACTATTTGGTTGATGCCGGGTATCCTATGCAAAGGGGATACCTGAAGCCTTATCCTGACACAAGATATCATCTTCCTGATTTTGCGAGAGCGAGTGGCACCATCCGTGGTAGAAAGGAAATGTTTAATAAACGTCACTCATCTTTACGCGGGGTAATTGAAAGAACATTTGGGGTTTGGAAGAAGAAATGGGTCATCCTACGCGATATGCCGTCGTATCCTTTCCAAAAGCAGGTGCATATTGTGGTTGCAACAATGGCACTACATAACTTCATCCGAAGACATGCCTCACGATTAGATACAGATTTTAGTATGGCTGACAACGACGAACTGAATGTCTTCGATCAAACTCCTGAAATTGTGGCTGGTAGTTCATTACCTGAGGATGATGTAGACTCTAATGATTTTGGAGATCAGGAGGGTGAAGGTTTGGCTGATATGATTGCTTTAAGGGAGTCTATTACAGATGCTATTTGTGGCTGTTGATCTACCAAGTTTGACTTTAATAAAGTTATAGGTTGATATTCAAATGTATTTAATTTTGGTTACTTTTAAAACACCTTAAACGGACATTGATTCTTTTGTTTTCGTCGCAGTTAAACAAACATGACTTCCAGGATATCAGGTATGGACAGAGAGATTTTGTGTTATTGTGGACTACCGTCTCCGTTGCTAACGTCACGTAAGGAGCGTAGCTTTGGGAGGCAGTTCTATGGTTGTGCCAGAGGTGTTACAGCTCGTTGCGGTTTCTTCAGGTGGGCTGATAGTCCCACAAATTACACCGCCAGTAATTATCCAGAGGTGTTTCAGCTCGTTGCGGTTTCTTCAGGTGGGCTGATAGTCCCACATATTACACCGCCAGTAATTATGCCAGCAGTCATGTGAATCCGATGTTTTCTCAGGCTGACTGTGCAGTTGAAGACCGATGTAGCCAGAGTCTGAAGTTAAATATTTTAATATTTCTCCTTGTTGTTGTACTTGTATTTGTACTTTTTTCAGTTCTACTGGTACTCGTTAAGATGTGAGAACTGTATGTTATCTTTTAGAACTTGTCTATCATTATCGTATGTTTCTGCAACATATGTTTCTTTTCTACGAATAAGTTATTCTAAATAAGCTGCCCCAAACAGTTTTATCACATAGGGGCAGTAATGTCATTTAACCACCAATAAGCTAGCTTCAATAAGCTGGCCCAAACAGCAAGCCAAATTATTCTGATAATCTACAGATTATCAGATTATCAAAATAATCTGCTTATCAGCAGATTATAAATAATCCACAGCTGCGCCAAACAGACCCTAAATTATGAGGAGTAACACCTGTAGTAAGATCATCAACCTCGATCTCCATAACACCATGCAACTCAGTTTCAGATGGAGTTTTAGGATGATTCTCTTCATCAGTTGAAACAACGTTGGTGATTAGGATATCAACATTATGCTTGATGTCCAAACCAAATTTATCTCTATCATCTGAGATGTCAATAATGGTGTTACTTGGGACTTGTGGTGGTCAATCAACACCTTGCTTCACATGAAGATGTAAACAATAACAATGAGAAAAAGTATGCCCAAACTTACGACATGGGAACAATAGGGTGAGTGCCCCTCAATTTCCACCTTCTGCCAATATTCTTGATGGGTCGTGCCAATCCAAATTTCATACGAAAAAGGTAGTGTAATGTCTCGTTCCACTAAAATACATGCTTTAGAAGGTTGTGATAATGAGAGAGTAGGGTAATCCATTTTTAATAGTTTACCATAACCAACATCCAGGGAAAACAATACCTCATGATTAAGAAGGTACAACTTTAAACCAGGGAAACATATCCAGAAATGAATTGTGGGTAGCTCCGATTTAGGATTAAAACCAACCGTCCACAGTAAAATTTTCACCGGAACATTGAAAATTCTAAGAAAAAGACATACAAATAACCTTGTATAATCCTTGTCATTAAACAATTGAATCAAAATATGCTGCCCATCAAGTAAGCCTATTTTCCAAAAAACCTGTTAGCTTCAAGGAATCAAGTTCTCTCTTAATGACTTCAAGCTTTGGGTGGCCGTAGAGAAATTTATCAACCAAAACATACTGACAAGAAGAAGCAAGGATATTAGCTTCATCCTCAGAAACATACCAAACAAGCTTTCCATTCTTTTTACCAGTATTTTTAATGAAATTATAATCCACTCCAAAGCATAAAGCCTCGTTAAAGAATTTCGGGAAGAGACCTGAGCTGCTAATCTTGGAGCAACAACTACAAGGAAGCGCTTCCGCAAAACTTCCTTCCATAAGTATACTGCCAAAGGCCACTTAAGAAAAAAGACGTAAGAAAAACACCACAAGAAAGCAAGAAAAAGGAGAAAAATGGAATGATTTCACTAGCCAAAAGCGAAGAGGGGAGGGGGGAAACCATCGTCTATATAATATATATATATATATATATATTTGTGTGTGTGTTTGTGTGTGTGTGTGCACGTTTTAAAATTCCATAGGGAATTTTATTCGACATAAATAAAACATTACAAAAGGAAAGCAAGAGGCCCCTACTACACCCCACATTTAACTCACACAAAAAAGAAAAACCTAAGGACCCTTCCCCCAATAAAGAAAAAAATTCAATACACCCCACTGGCAAATAAAAAAGTAATCAAACAGCAAAAGAAGACAATTCATTAAACAACAACACATTCAACTCCATTGGTAAAGACATGGAAACAAAAATAAACTAAGTTGAAGAACATAATTTGGCGACCCAATTAGCCTTCTTATTACCATCTTGCATAATTTGAGTCCAAATAATATGAATACCTTCAATTAGAATAGAGATCCTCTTCATTTAAATTTGAATACTCCATAGATAGTTCAATTTGTAAGAGCAAAATCTCCAGAGAAGCAATGAATGAATATACTTTCAACCACAATGTTTAGCTAAAACAAGGGCACACGCAACCACATTGGCTTCAGCCACCAGAGAAGATATTGGAACATACAATGTAACAAACCAAGCAAGATAATTATCATACCAATCCCTACAAACATCTCCAACTCTAACTTTATCTCTTTCCAACTACCATCAACATTAATCTTAATAATGTGGTTATTTTATGTGGTCACGGTGGGGTTGGTTTTATGATACACCAAAATAATATGTAGTTTTAAGTTTATATTTTATGCTTAGTAATATTACAATTTAAATAAGGGTATTTTCATTTTTTTGTTGCAGGTATATCAATTTGAGGTGTTTGGAGCAAAAGTAGCAAAAAAGACAAAATTTGGAGCTCAAATAGTGAATTTTTGGATTATGGCACAAGATGCTCCAGATTGGCGCAAGTTGCGCCAACAAACAGAGAACTGGCGCCAGGTGCGCTAGATTGGCGCCAGATGCGCCAAAACCCAGAACAACATAGTCTTCAGCAAACTGGTGCAAGATGCGTCAGATTGGCACCATATGTGCTATTTAACAGAGAGCTGGTGCTAGATGTATCAGATTTGGCGCAAGATGCGCCAGAGATGATTTTTTATAGATTAAGGCGGTTCGAGATGAATTTTGTGCAAATTTTCAAACAACCCTTGGAGTGATTCTATAGGGGAACTTGTTTTAAACACCCCTTGGAGTGATTCAATATATCTAGACACGTTGGAAGGTTCCTTTATGAAGGGATATGTCTCTTGGATCAATGAACATGTCTTTTGAATTCAAAAGAGTTGACTTTTGGATAGAATTTTGGAGGAAATTTTGAATTCTTTTTGGACAAAGACAACAGTTTATAGAAGAGAGGGAAGTCTAGGGCTTAGAAAAGATTTTGGAGACTGATGTGTAAAGGGAGGGTGAAAAGAAGAGAGAGATAGAGAGACAAGTCAAGGGCTTGGAGAATTTCTTCAAGGATTGTAAGAGGAGAGGGAATGTGTGAGATTTCTTCTTCATTACACTTCTAAGAGAGAATTGAGAGTGCTTGTAAATAAAGAAAGGCTTGAAGAGAACTTCTAGGGATTTGCTTAGGGAGGATTGTGAGATAAGTTATGTCTTTTATTTCTTTTAGTTTGTAAATTTGTTTTTATATATGAAATTCGTGTTTTATCGTATTCTTCTCATGAATTCTGAGTTGTCTTCTTTATCATTCTCCCTACTTTGAGATATGGTTTTGTGAAGAATTGATTTTTTTTGTATGGTTTTAAATGTCAATAATTTGTGATGATTCGAACTCCGATCTTCATTTACTTTTCAATTTGTCCAATTGAATTGTTAAGATGTGTTGTGAAACATATGCTTTAAAAGTGATATGATTTTTAAAACATAGGGAGAATTACATTTGGTTTCATGGGAGAGTATGTTATTCATGGATTTGGGTGCAGGAAAATATACTTTGTTTGATGTAGAATTGGAAGATTTTAAGGTGATAGATTAGAATCCTCAATTTGGTTCAATTGATGGGAAACTAATGTGAGCATGTTAGCCATCAGGTGAGGGAGTAGTGGGAGATTTAGACTGGCAGCCGGTATCCTCCCGGCCTAACCACAAAATTATGGACCAAACTCTAGATTAGTCAATGCTCTTTATGCACTCGGAAGAGGGTAAAGAATAGGATTGCTCATATTTGGCATAATACAGTTTTTATATATAATTTTAAATGATTTTAACTTATTTACATTCCATATACTCATTGTAAACGGGAATGATGCTTTCTTAAATTTGAACTTTCTGTCACAAAAACTTTGTTAGTTTTCGTAAGTTTATTTTTGAAAGTTTAGAATCTAGTTTAGTCAATTTTATCTTTCAACTGCATTTTAATTATCATTCACTCTAGTATTTAATATTTAAATTTCCCATTTTACTTTTTGTAGTTTTAAAAATTGTAGTATACATTATAATCTTAAGAATTTAGTTATAAGCATTTCCAACTTCCTAGTGGGATCGATATCTAGGACTCCGTTAGAGCTCTTTATTGCTTGAACGATACATATATTTGTGTTATTTATATAGGGGATTTGATAGTTTAAATATTTTTAAAAGAAAAAAAAGATATTTAAATAATAAAACTATTCACTAAAGTTATTTTTGTTGGGATTAATTTGCATGTTTGCTATTGTATTTGTCTTGTGCATTTTGTAATATTAAAAAATATTTGCAAAATTAACACGCTAAATCCACCCGCATTAAGTTTTTGGCGCCGTTGTTGGGCAAGTAATGGAAAGTATTAGTAAGTTATTTTATAATTTATAGTATTTTTATTTTTTTAGAAATTAAAAAAAAATATTTAAGTTTAGTTTGAACATTTCTTATTCAAGTGTGTTTGCTTATTTTAATTTAATTATTGAGTTTGTTTATGCATAGTGTAAGATTTGAGTATTTAGTACCTTACGATTCTGAGTTAGAAAGAACTATTAGAAAAAATTGACAATAACAAAAAGAGATTGACCATACTAGCAAAGTGAATTGCAATTTAAGTAATGCTGGAAATGAAAATGAAGATCATCAGAGACCTTTAAGAGATTATGTTAATCTTACAGTAGATGAAAATTATTTGAGTATACAAAACCCTACTGTAGCTGGCAATTCATTTGAGCTTAAACAAGTTATTATCTAAATGATACAAAAAATCATTTTGGGGGACAATTAACTGAATATCCTAAATTACACCTATCCTAAATTACACCTTGTATTACACCTTGTTAGTTTTCTAGAATTATGTGTTACTTTTAAATATGATGGACTGTCAACTGATGTTGTTAGACTTAGACTTTTTCATTTTTTGCTAAAGGATAAATCTAAGATATGGTTAAACTCGTTAGCATCTGGATCTATCAGAACTTAGGGAGATTTATCACCAAAATTTTTATCTAAATATTTTAAAAAATTGTTAAGCTTAGAAATGATATTACATCTTTTTTTTTAGTTTGAAGGGGAATCAGTTTATGAAGTATGTGAAAGATTTAAAGATCTCTATAGAAATGTCCACACCATGTGTTGCCAGATTGGTTAAATAATGCAAACATTTTATAATTGATTGGGTAGATCTCTTTGATCGATAATTGACGTTGCTGCGGGTGGATTATTAATGTCAAAATCATTCGATGAAGCATATTCTTTAATTGAAGAGATGACTACAAATAATTTTTAATGGCCCTCTCAAAACAGTAAATCCAAAAAGAGTAGTCAGTATTCATGAT